CCTCTTGCCGCCTTTTGCTTGTCATCCAAAACAGATTTAAATAAAATCCAATCAGTAGCTAGTAAAAAACAACAACATTTACAATCACATTACTCACATTAATACTTACAAATGCGACCTAAACATTTAGCAATTATTAATAAATAATATTGCCAAAGAAATGTGTAGTTACTGTAGCAATATTGTAACACAACACGAAGTAGACGACAAATTCAAATTTAATATTTACTTCTTTGTAATTTCAGAATTTACATTATTGGTGTTTAATTTCTTTTTTAGCTACAACATTTAAAAGTGTGACTGAAGTCACTTACAATTATTTTAAATTCATTGCAATTATAGCATATTTTGGTACAATACAGTACAATATTAGTGGTTTAGCTTACTACTGCGAATACTTTTTATTACTTCTCTGCTCTTAATTTGGTACGATTATACAAATAATTTTTCTTGCAATTTGTATATACAACGATTGCTACCTGGATATTATTGCATGAATAATACATGTTTCTTGAAAATTCACTTCACTGTTTAAGAGTAGGTACATTGTTTTATCTGCAATTGAATTTTTTGTACATCAGTATCTAGCAAAAAGACAAACTAAAAACCAAAATTTCCATTAATTTAACAGAACAAGAGTTTTGGGTGTAAACTTATACGTAACAACCACGATGTGTAATTGACGATGAAGGCCAGTGCAGATTGATTGAGGTGAAATGGAAAATGAATAAAACTTAAAATTTTGTCGTGTAAACTTGTGCTGAGACGTGGGGATATTAACCAACAAAAGAAAAGAAAGCAGTACTGCTGCAAGCACTACATGGAAGCAATAATGTTTAGCAAATTGTTATAAAATATAATTTTATTTACTAAATAATATTCATATAAACCTGAACATATAACTACTGTTTGATGTCATGTAAGATATAATATGAATACTTAATGACATTCGATGACTTAAAGACTTAAATGTTTTGATATTTTTGATGGAAAATTAATTTCTAATAGGTATGGAAAAAATAACTGATGATAACTTTAACGGATTGATCTATTATAGCAAAATAACTCTAATTTTACTACGCTAATTTTAATTATCAAAAATCTTCCAAGACACTGCAAGTAGTTGTAAATTAAATTTGTAGCGAAACACTTACGTGAAAGGAGAAAGACAATCATAAAGCTCTATTCCCTTATCACAAATGTTGACTTCCTGCAATAGACTTCTCTTTTTCCGTTGTATTAAACTTCCATATTTATATTAATCTAATTAAGATTATGACGCAATCGCTTGAGATTTCACTTAACTTTTTAGAATATAAGTGAAAGAATTTAAATAATGACTTAATAGTCAACATTTTTGGATGGTTGGGTCTAAAGTGGATAGTGCAGTGGTTTCTACCGCTGAGTATGGTTTGCATAGTGGAAGTTCCATCTTCTGTCGCGAGCAAATTTGTTTGTGAATGATGATATGTGCTAGATAGGGACATCTGTCATGTCTGTGATGAAAATTCATTGAATAAAATAATCTGACACGAACGTTGGTCCGCGTGTATTTCCGTGTGTCTTACGTGGCGACATCTGTTGTTTTGTAGCTTTTTCCTCCACCACTCGTAATCCTCCAAATTTTTGGCCTTTGTGATTCGTAGTTACCATTGTGATATACTGCTATGAATACTTTACATACATATCTGATAATTCAAAATTATAGAATTTATGGTCAGAATTTTGCTGCTCACAATTTAAAAGACAATACTATAATGTGATTTAACGTCGAAAATTTTCAAATTATCAGACAAGAAATGAATAATTGAATAAAGTCAATAAAAGGTAGAACGTATGTAATAGGTATGTAATTAAAGAAGTCAAAGAGATGTGTAATTATTTTATAATGAGTAATTAAATATTAAGTAATTCGTTGATGAATTCATTTTTTCATTTCTGAGTTATTAATTGATAGTGCGATGATCTTTATATTCAAGTAAAAATTTTGTAGCAAAGAATAATCCTTATTTGCCAATATTTTATTTATCTAATTAAAAATTTATTAGTGAATTTGAAATTAATGATAATATTTTAACTCAATGTGTAATAATTAGAAAAAAAAAATAGAAAAAACTATTTTCTATTTCGATTTTAATATTAAATAATGAACTATTGATTAGATTAAACTATGTGAATCAATATGATATTATTAAGACAAATGTAATGTGAGACAAAATTTGGATATTAATGGTTGTTTTTTTTTTTTTTTTTTACTAAAATGAAACATTGCCAACTGTTGAGCAGTTAGTTACAAAAAATTACGAACTGGTTTCTAACGTATTACACTTAGCGTAACATTCTGTAATATTGATTAAATCAATTAAAATCATTGCAAAGCTTCTTGCTGAATCGTTTAAAAATTAATCTTTTCAAAAAAGTAACAAAACTGCTAGTTGTTTTTTTTTTTGATTTTTTTCGATCTATGCTAAAATAGCAGCTAATTCTCAGTACATATATTCGACCTCTTTCATACTTTGTTCCCTTTGTTTTGAGCTATCATTCAAAATTGAACTCTGTGTACTTCGACCTTATGATCTGCAATTTTCTGCAAGATTAAAACAAAATGTTAGATCACTTTTTACAACATTTTAATGTATAAATATCAATCGTTTTTTCTTCTCAAGCAAAAAGGCATTCAAAAATTTAATTGGCATTAGTTGTTTATTAAGTTTTTTTTTCTAGTTTTTGAAATATCAGTAATATATTAGGTCAAAGGTATCAGTCAATATTAGATCAAAGATATTTTTGATCCTAAAATGAAATACATTTTAGATATAAGCAAAAATTGAAAGATATTTTTAAATATATGAAAGAAAAATGATTATTGCAATAGCAATGAGATATTGCAGTGATTTTTTGAACGCATTAAATAAACAACTCCATGCAAAAAATAAAACCTACCACTTTAAAACTGACTGATTAATAATGATAATATTTTAGACGATATATAAAGATTTAAATTTCAAAATATTAGAAAGAAAAGATGTATTTTTGTTCTAAAAATCTAAAACTGACTTACTGAAAGTAAATTAAATTACTCATCTAGTCTTAATTAGTCTGAACTATATTTACTTTTGAAGAAATTGACTCATTACTGTTTAATTTTCCTTTTTAAAGTTTTCCGATAATAATTTAATTTTCACTTTTACATTTATTAGAAATCTGTTACAATTTTCCACATCGAAAATTCGAAAAAATATATTTAAAAATCATTTTTAAAATGTTAAAATAACTTTTCAAAGGTATTCCAAGAAGAGTATTATTGTATATTTTTAGTTGTTTATTGTACACTTTTTTTTTTACAGTTTCGTTTTTGACTCTTAAAAACATATTTATTTTTAAGGATAAAATCCTATCTATTTAATTTGGATTTGATTCACACTCACCATTATATCATATCTTTGTATAATTATAACTATTATTATATTATATTCATATAATTTAAGCAATTAACGATCTGCAATAACACCTAATCCTTAACGATAGATACTATATTCGGACAGATTTTAAATTGCTGTACTCACTTTGATATCACGGATTGGTATCACTCCTTATCACTGATATCACTCAAATTGACATTATTTCTTAATTAGCGAAATTCCACTTTTGGTCATCAAATCATATCATTTGTTGTTAATTGCCAATAATTATTTTCAATTTATAGATCATTTTTTTATTGTACTATGAAAACGAATAACTTTACCAGTTATTATAACGTACATTAATAATATTTTAAATTGTACAAATGAAAACTTATATTTTTTAAAATGGATATAAATTTCGAGTTTAGATTAGTCTTACTTTGTGTACAATTAAACTTCCAATCAAGGCTTTGTACTGTCAAATTCGAAAAGTTTATAGAAACTAAGTATTTTCAAATAGTAGTTAAAAAATTTTTGCTACCAAAGACCCATTTTCATTCATGATTTTATCTTTCGTTTTATTATAGAGATTAAAATATTTTAGTGTGTTAAAAGAATGAGCAAAACTTTTGATTTTTATGTAACTTATTTTTAAAAATAAATATATTATTGGCAATTAACAAGTATTACCAAGTAGTAGTAATAACTTTATTACCAAGTAGTAGTAATATATTTATTTTTAAAAATACGTAAAAATATATTCTTTTAATCTCATAGAAATGCAAATAAATATATTGCTACTATTTGATAATAAAGTTGTTGTAACCATTTCAGACATTAAAAATTTGATTCTAAATAGTATTTTTCAATAATCTTTGTTGAATTTGTAGTGCTCTTAAGATGACAATTGATGACATTCTCCACCATCCCAAATTTGCATACCGTACAGATGGATACTTCCCAAGTTCATTTACTCGAAGTTGTTATCGTTTCAAAGTTTGTATTTCTATCAAAACAAAAATAAAACAATTAAAAAAATTAACAATTAAATAAACTGTAAGTAATTAGAGACTACATGATTTGTCTCATTAAAAATTTGATAATTTCTTAATAAATATCAATTTTCGAAAAAGCTTTAAAGTTTGAAATTAAATGTTAAGAATTGAAAAGTCTTGAAATTGCTACGTAATTAATAAAATATTTGATTTGAATGCAATCAATTTTCTAGTTAGTAGAAGTTAAAATATGCTTTATTTTTGAATATATAATTATTATGATTTTAATTACACTTAAGTCCATTACTTTTAAGATATTAAGTTAATTCTAATAACTTTTATTTATTAATTCATTTCAGCATATGTAATTTCAGAATACTATTCACAGTCGTCTGTATCCAATTCCATCATCTCTCTTCATTATAGTTTTTGTCATAATTTTTGCAATTCTGTATCGAAATCCCACTTTTCATCAATCATTGCATAGTCATACTCAAACATTTTCTAAAGAAATATGCTGCATTTTTTATATTTTTTTGGTTAGTCGCTAAATTATAAGTATAGAACAATTTAAGAACATTTTAATCTTGACTTTAAGTCAAAGTATTTATGAGATTTTTGACAGAAATAAACTTTACGATTTAATTATTACAAAAAATTGAATTTTTTATCACAGTAATAATAATCAAAATTTTTTTGTTGATTCAGTTAAAACGAATAGTTTTCTAATCAAATAAAATATGCAAACGAGATTTTAATAGTATAAATTTTGCAATATTTTTGATAGTATTTATAAATCTCTCAGCTGGCTCTTATCTACACATATCTGCCAGTGTTTTTGCTGAGATGCGCATTATCAAAATTTTATTTCGGATATAAACAGTACCTTTTTGAAGAGGAAGGAAAGTATTCTCGACCAACAAAATTATGGTTTGTAAGTTTTCCTATATTTATTAAAATCCTAAAATATTTTCAACAATATAAACTTACTTAGTTATACTTATTACTATACAAAAATATTATTTTCAAATATACCATACTTATTACTTAGTTACTTGAAGATATTATACTTATTAGTATTATTAGTACTTATTAGTATTTATTGGTACTAATACTTTCATCAGTACTTATTAGTTTTATTAGTGGTATTATACTTATTACTTGAAGATATTATACTTATTAGTTTTATTTTCTCATGTCTAAAATATGTATTCAAATTTTTGGGCTTTATTATTATGACAGTAATTTGGTAAAAGTTTGCTTAATTACGTATAAAAATTTAACATCATCTACAATAATATTCTTTATTGTTAAAAAAGAATTTTAATTAATTTAAATATATGAGTGTAATTTTAAATTCAATTTTAATTTATTCAGTTTAATTTCAATTTATTCGAATTTAACTTTAATTTACAAAAAAAGAACAAAAGAAAAAATTTTCAGTTATTCCACAAATTATTCTCAAAGCTATCACCTCAATTAAATTCGTGTGAAAGATTACTTCCTTCTTTACCACTTCCATCACTGGAAGATACAGTCGCTAAATATCTTGATAGTATTGAGCCATTATTAACTCATGTAAGTTCTAATTCTATCAGTTCATTACTATTTTCGATTATTGATTGATTTTGATAATTTTTTGCATTTTAATTAATTTGATTAATTTTTAATATTCACTAAGGATGATTTTGCCGATGTAAAAAATATGGCCGAAAACTTTCTTAAAAATGAAGGCTGGAAACTTCAAATTTTGGCGCGATTGTATTGGCTCTTCTCCGACAATTATGTAAATTTTGTAAAAATGCTAATAAGTTTCAAAGCACTTTTCATAATCTTCTACATATTTTATAGCATTTAACTGTTTCTTACAATTATTTATATTTTTTTAAAGTCAAAAGTCATACATTTATTGTAACAGAATATAAGTATTAAGAAAACAAATTAAAATACTAACATTAATAAGTATTTCATACTCATTTGACGTTATGACATAATTAAGTTTAAAATAATACTAAAATGGCCTTTGACTTTACTGATGCTTACTATTTTAAACAATTACTTACTTCTGAGCACACTTAAATTTATGCACGTGTATGAATTTACGTGCGCTTAAAAGTAATTGTTTGAAACAGTATGCATTATTAAATTCAAAGACTGTGTTTATTGTTATTCATATTGTAGTAAGTTCAATCACTTCATCTCATTAGTGTTATCTCCGAATTCAATTTTACATTTAGTTCATGAAAAAATATAAGAAGTAGTTTGATAACTTCTAATGTGATCTGATTCAATATTTGACAGGTTTCTGATTTTTGGATGAAATATGCATATCATTATTCTAGAAAAAATGTGCTGATAAATACAAGCGTCGCGCATGTGGTTAGTAATCATTTTGCATTATTAATTTTAAAATTTAATTCAATTCATAAATTTAATTTGTTGTTTTAAAAAACAATTTTAATTGCTTAAATAATTTTACATAATAAAATACTATATATAATATTTGCATTTGCAAGGCTATTTTATAACTTAGCTATTTTACTTTAAATATGATATTTTTCTTAATACTTTTAAATAATTTCATATAATTTAATTTTTACGTAATAAATTTAGTAGTAAGTGATTTATAACTTTGTAATAACTTTCATGGATTCATTTTGGTTAATAAAATAGTTCATAACAATAGCTGGTAATACTGACAATTTCTTAGCTTATACTCTCAGACTATGTAATTATTTTTACATAGTCTAAAAGCAGAACTATACATAATAATCTAATTATGTGTTTCAATAATTTAAATATTTCTCACCTGAACTTTGTAATAATTCCCTCTCAATTTTTCGAAAATCAAAAATATGCCCAAGTTAATAGTAAAACTTCCCGCCTAGATTTTATCTTTCATGTTGCATTGAAAATTTCTACATACCAATTAATCTATTTGCTAACAGAATAATTGCAGCGAATATAATATTTTTGGATATCAAAAGTAATAAATTATTGATATTACAAATTTATATTTCCTTTTTTTAAATATTCAGTCTAATTAATATTAGAATTATTGAAAAAAAGTAAAATTCTTGAGGATGTTTTTGAAATTATACCAGCAAATCAAGCAGTTCGCGCTGCACACATAGTGTTATTTGAAGTACTGAGTATGTTATCAGTTGATCGAGAATTACTTAAACCCGTAAGTCAATATATTACATGAACGAACCAATATATATAAGTAAATCAATATTGAAAATTTATGATAAAATTTGATTATTGTTCTTTTAATTCCTGTAAAGGAATATATTTTTATTAATTTTAGCATAGCAAAACAAATTTGGTGTATTTAAGTATCAAGATAGAATTTTTAGGTGGGTAATGGTTTAATAAGTTTATCACATCTGGGGAAAGTATATGCAACAACTCGAGTTCCTGGTGAAGTTATGGGTATTAGCATATATTTGCAAACTTTTTTGTGTTCCTTTGGCATTTGACCTTTAGTGCTGATGTTTTTTTTCTGATCTTACTGATTACAGTTAATGCTAATACGTAGTTCAGAAACAAAATTCTGATTTGCTTTTAAAAAAAATTAATTATATATAATAAAAATATTTTGAACAAGAATATGCGACTTATAAAAATTATGAACAATGCAAAAAGTCTATTACAAATACTCATTTTTACAGCATTACCTTTATGACTGACAATAGTTCCGAAACTGAAATATGCAAATTTTCTGGGTGGGATTTCCAAATATTGATGTTCTCAAAAATAAATTCTGCTAATTTGAATGGAATCGCAAAAGCTTGCGAATTTACTTCAGCTAAGAGAAAGAAACTGCTAAAAAATCAGCTCTCTTGACATAATTTTCAGATCATCTCGAAGTGCATTTTGCTTCTGCTCGACACATCGTTGTCTTTCATCGTGGATGCATCTACAAAGTAGAAGTATTTGATGAAAATCGACGTATGTTAGGATTGGCAGAACTTACTGAGTAAATTTAACAATAAGTTTAACTCTCATAGTTTTAAATACTCAGAAAATAAATGTAACGAGTAATTTGTATATTTGGAATGGAAATATTTTCCGTTAAATCAAAGAATAATTTCAAATTATATCGAACAGAAAAATTTTTTACAATTTAATACCTTTTTGTGGGGTATTTTTTTGAAAATTTTTAAAAATTATGCTTGAAATTTGTTTTGTAAAAGCAGTTTGATTTTTCTACTTTTTAAATCCATCTACAGAATTTTCACGGAATTGTTAACACGTGAAGAAAGTGTAGAAGAAGTGGAAAGTCGCATAGCAGCATTAACGACAGATTCTCGATCTCAGTGGTGCTTAAATCGTCGTCACTTTTTTTTGCAGAATCCTCTAAACAAACAATCATTAAAAATCATTGAAACATCCATATTCTGTATTGTTTTTGATGACATCGACTACGATAGCAATCCGGTAGACTAATAAGTTCTATCGTATCAAAACTTTATGTTAAACATTTCTTTTATTAAAAAATAATAATTTTCTGTTCAGAATTTATTAGCCTTCATTTTTTCAACACTTCAAAATACCATATATTATATGAATTTTTTAAAAGAAATGTTACAAAAATCCATAACTTTATTAACTTATAACTTTAATTAAAGTTAACTTTTGTCAGGTTTTAACTTATAATTTTTATTAGGATTATCCAGAAAACTTGGAATATTTCGTGAAAACTATGCTAGTTGGTAATGGATGTAATCGATGGGCAGATAAGTCGATCAGTTATGCTATTGGCAAGAATGGAAGAGTTTAGCGAAATATATTTTAAATTTTTAAATTTATTTATACTAATATAACCAAATATTCAAATAATTTCCGATTTTTTTATACAATAATGAAATAATTACTGGCTTGCATAATTAATTATACTTATTTGTAACAATTCTGGGAAATTTAGATCGCAACTTTTTAAAGAAATTATTACAAACAAATATGCTTAATAAATAATTATTTGATAAATAATATTTAATCAATAATTATTTATTGAAAAATAATTTTAAGAAATAATTATTTCTTAAAATTTTATTTTCATTTGATTATTCTAATTATAAAAAAGTATTGATAATATTTGATAATAGTGATAGTATTTTAATTGATAATATACAATAATAATAACATTTTATAGTAAAGAATAAATTTTTAGTGCGGTGGAACAGGGGAACATTCAGTTGCAGATGGAACAGAATTTGTTTATCTCCTTGAAAATTTTGTTGCCAGCGACTTTTTCACCAACAAATAAGTTTTCTAATTTTGCTTTAATTAGCATAAATTATTATCTAAACTATCCATAATTCTTTGCTTAATTCATTGTTTTGTAACTGAGCTACTCAAAAGGTAGCTACTTTAACTACTGTTTACTGAATAATAAAGTTTGTAGATATCCAGAAAAGGTTGAGGAAATAGCACCACTTAAGCACCTTTCGAGCAACCTGAAATACGCTGTTCGTTTAAGCTTTGATATTAATGAAGAGGTGAAATTCAGTTAAATCTATTCATATCTATCATTTTTATTCATATTTGAAAAAGTATGAACAAAAAGAATTAAATTTATGCTAATTAATAGCTGTAACTGTTGATAAATTTGACAATAATGATAGTATTTTAATTGATAATATGAAATAATAATAATATAATTACTCCTATAGATCTGAATCATAATGAGCTATTTAACTGATTCACTTTTATCATGAATAATTTTATCAGTGAGATTTGATCTAATCAAAAAAGCATTTGAGATGGCGAATGAGATCAATCGTTGCTATTTTGATTATTGCAATCAGATTAATGATCTTGATGTTGCATGTATTGTTTTCCGAGATTTTGGTAAAGGTTTAATCAAAAAGATTCAATTTTCACCCGATGCATTTATTCAAATGGCAATACAATTAGCAATGTTTAAAGTTAGCATCCATAATATTTATTCCTTAATAATTTTTTAAACATTCTTTTTTCCAGAAATATTCATGAAGCTCAGCTGATTACTTTTTGATTTTTTTGCTTGTCTATGATTCTCACACAAAGAATCACATTCATAAAAATTTTACATATTTTGCTGTTGCTTTGCTAAATTATCGTTTTTTGTGAAAAGGATCAAGAGAGATTCTGTCTAACGTATGAATCAGCATCAACAAGATTCTTTGCAAATTCAAGAACTGAAACTTTACGAACTGTTACAAAAGAATCATGCGCATTTGTTAGATCAATGGTTGATCAAAAATGTAGTGTAAGTTTTGACGCTTGTCATAAACTTAATATAAATATATCTTTTGCTTTTATACAATTAAAAATAATTTTGATCGGAAATTTCCAGCTAGAAGAACGTCGTAAATTATTAAAAATAGCACAAGAAGTTCACGTTTTACATAATAAGGAATGTATGGTTGGTAAAGGATTTGATCGACACTTATTCGTTCTTAATATTTTAAGTAAAATAACTGGTATAAACAGTGCATTTCTGGAGCATTACATTAATGAACGTTGGGAACTGAGCACAAGTCAGGTAAAAATAAAACTAATACTTGATTATTAGGATATTGGCTAATATTAGTAGTATCCAAGAGTGACGCTTGTTCTTTTTTAAAGCCTTATTTTCGTGAAAGAATGATTTAAATTTATGAATTTCTACCTATTTCTAGATCATTCTGAAATAATAGCATAATTTATTCATCCAAATTAACTTTTAAAAAGTAATGACAAAATGATAGTTTGGAAATCTGCACAGTAACTTGCAAATTTAATCTTACCATTTGGATTTGTGTCTAAAACATGCTTTTTGATCAGACACCAAATATCACACGTCAGTTAGATGAAAACAAATATGTAGGCACCTCCTGGCTAGGAGCAGCTTTTGCACCTCTCAGTAAATCTGGCTATGGTATATCTTATCGGTTTGCTGGTGATCATTCTATATGCATACATATCACATCTTTTATATCAGCTGACAACACGGTTTGTTGCTTATTAATTTACTTAATATGTGTTAAGCTAATCTGAGAAATCTGTAAAATTTTTACATATTATTAAATGAAAATGATATTCTATGACATCTACATGCATTATCCAATTTTGAATCAACTAATTCTTTCCAAAACCGAAGTGAATAAACTGAAAACTGGTTACATATTACAAACTGACAGAATGCAACATTCAAAATATTACCGTATACGACAGAAACAGTCACAGAAAATACACAAAATCTGTATGGCTACCATGGATTTAACTTTAAAATAGAAATCTCTCTTGGGTCATCTACTAATAGTGCAACCTCACACATCTTTTGCATCCATATATGTGCATACAGTAATAATTACTTGCAGAATTCACATCGATTTAAGAAACACTTGGTTCAGTCAATGTTTGATCTATCGAATGTACTTAAGAATTGAACAATCCAAAATGTGTATATGACTTGCTAACTGTGACTTATATTTGTTTTGCTTTCTTTTTTCGATGTAAATAAAATTACTCTAGTAGATGCTTACATAGGTGATCAAACATAAATACTAACGCAGAAGAAATAAAAGTTTGCTACTATGAAATATTTTTAAGTTTATGGAGTACTATGAGGAATATATTGAATATATTATAATATGTTAACTATATTATAGTAAGCACAACAGTAAATAACTTTAATTAACCAAATTTTTTCAACTAATTTATCAAAGTAAAATCACAATAAAGGCAAAAACAACATAGATCAAGAAACCAACTTGTTCTCGTCTAAAACTAGAACAGCTTTGAGGATTATCAATCGAGTAGTAAACAGTAAAAAAAATCCCAAGGATGAAATTACTGATGGATATCATAGTTCCCATTCATGTGCAAAAAATATAAGTAATATCGAAATCATAAATGAATATCAATCCTAAATTCCTTTGTGACATACACATTAGGCTTACGAATTATAAGTGACTGTGCATCTCGATCATGTACATAATCAGCTGTTTCTGGATTCCAATCTGAAAGGCGGAGATTTTATAAAATAAACTTCGTAACAAAAGATCTAATCAAGTAAATCTGATATTTCGCAAACAAAACTTTTTAAAAATAGTGAAAGGAATTACCGTCCAAGTAGATGTGAACATTTGTGGGGTAATACCGAACACCTCTGATAACTATTTTTTCAATCATAGCATCACTTTCCAGGGTTCCCTTCTTGTCTAAATTTTTGGATGAAAGTGAATACAGCTGATCGCCTTCTTTCTTATAAACGAATCCCCAATAGAAGTATTGACCAGTTTTATAATCAAAGGTTTCGCCGTCATCCATATATAATGTCCCATTAGCATAATCTCCCTAAATATTATCCCAACAATCTATCAATCATTTTTCGAACAAATATTAAATTTATTAGTCACATTTTACAAATAAATGTTTAAATATTTAGTTAATGACTGAACGGTTTATCAGTAACTCGAATTTATAACACTCCGAATTATAGAAAATGATAAAACAGGTGAATAAGATGTTATACTGCATATCTCATCCTCTATAATATTCTTGTCATTAATATAATTTTATAGGATTTGTTTCACAAATTTTTACATGGAAAAATATATAAATAAATCTTTAACACAAACCCCACGCGAATGGATGAGTTTATATTAATGGTTTATGCAAAAAAATACCTTAAAATTGATCGCAACATATAAAGTAATAGGATCTTGACGCATTAATGTTGAGGCCCGTCTCACTCTTTCCCATTTGGGAATGATCGTACCACCTCGCTGGAATAATGGTATCGCATCGATAGGCGTATTAACATAAACGGCTCCAGGAGCTACTCGACCCTTAAAAAAAGACATTGCAATACTGATAACACATGAAATAAACCACAGAAAAACGATAAGAACTTCATGAAATAAATTTTGTCCTTTAAAAATTGCTTCAGCTGTCAAAACAACTTGCACTTAGCCAAACTTTAGGCTAATCAAGTGAATGGGACCTCTAATAAAAAAGAAAACTGTAGAAACCATGTGATCATCCCAATTGTACCATACGACATTTCTTCTGCCCGGCAAGTATAATGAGATTGAAGGTACGTCTGGTTCCATTACTGGCCGAACAAGTAAGCCTGAACCTAATAACCATTCGCGTTCTTCATCGAATGATCCTTCATCATCCGGAAATTCTGACCATACTGGTCGCATTGGCGGTTTTCCAGTTAGCGTATGTTCATAAAATATTGTATACCTATAAAAATAAACTGACTGAAAAGACTTTAACAGGAAAGAATGCAAATTTCTAATCAGCATGATGAATAAACGATATTAAAAAAATAAAGTCTTTTACTGCTTTAGCGAAGGTAATAAAAACTAATAAAATTTAGCAAAAAGCACAAAAAGAATGCGTGAAAACTTAACAAAGAAACATTGGAAAAAAAAATAGATGTTTCAAACTTAATGCATACGACGAACTACATCTACAAACTTCATGGAAGTCAATCAAAGAACAAAAAATGTGATTCATTAGAATATTTAAAGAGTTTTACCAGTAAGGCAAGAAAGAGTAACGAGTACGAATCGCTCTCCGAATTGATGAAGTCGTAGTATTTGAGAATAACCAAGGTTCTCTTCGTTTTGTATCAATATGTGCATGAGTTCTGAAGAATGGTTGAAAAGCAGCTGCCTAAAACACGGCAGTGAAGAAATTCAAATTTCGGAAATATTTATTAAGAGATGTTCCCGCTAAAGTTACGTTTTCACATTCAGAAATTACACTTTCAGCTTCTATCTCATCTTGCAAAAGGCTTCTTCAAATATCACTCTTTACCTGATACCACCGAGTTAAAAGCTGCTCATCAGGATTACCAAAGAAGCCACCAACATCAGCACCAACATGAGGTATACCGGAAATTGACAATGACAAAAGCATAGGAACCGATATTCTCAGCTGCTCCCAGCTTGCAGTGTTATCTCCTGTCCAAACGGCTGCTGTACGCTGACTGCCAACAAAGAACGATCGAGTCAGCACAAATGGTCGTTTACGGTTATTTGTTCGCAGCAAATGGCCACGAAACGTCGAAGAATGCTGTGATGAAAAAAATGATAATAATTCCTTCTATTACACGCTTACTATTTCGAGAGAATCAAATTCTAGGCTGAACTTAATACCGAAAGGATAATGAAAGCAATGAAATTTGCTATTTGTTTGATGGTAGTCGTCATGTTCTTGCAGTTATTCCAAAACTTAAAACTAACATGATAAAACCCATAAATATTATGAACATCCCGATGCTCCCAGTCTCCAAAATGTCTAGCATCTTTTTCCATAGTCACTTCCGGACCACTAAACACGGATGGCTCATTCATATCATTCCAAGTAAAAAGATCTTCCGTAGAACCAATATACTGATCGAAAGCGAATTGGCCAGCCCAAAAATCCCGAACTGCCGGGTTTAGAAAATCGAGATACATGGATGCACCCGACCAACAGTGTCCTTCATAGTCATCACCTTCCGATTTCTAAAATGGTAAAAGCAGTAAGGTCAAAGAAATGAAATTACAAAGAGAATGAGAGATTTATGAAAGTATATTGATATTGCATCAACTAGTAAGATTTAGATATCGAGGATGCCTACAGAAAACAAAAGAGATACGGCTGGCAACGTTTTTTTTTTGTAGATACCAATAAATAGAAAATTAGTTGCACAGAAAAAGATCCTAATACAACAAAGAGAAAAGCTTTTTCCCGAGTTTTTGAAATAATACTGCAATGTAGCCCACCTTTACAAAATAGCCATTTTTTTTTGCCTCGCTATATACATGGTAGTTGTCATCCTTTTTGATGTGAGGATCGATTATTGTGACCATTTTTCGTCCCTGAAGCAAGAGAGAAAATTTAACTTATCTCGACGCAATATGTTCATTTAAGTGAGTAAAACTTCGGAAGAAAGTGATCGAAAAATTTTGGTAAACCTGGAAGACTCTTCATTTAGGTGTAATAATATGCTTACTTTTGCTACTAAGTTACTGATCATTTGTTTTGGATTTGTGAATTTGTTAGGATCCCATGTGAAATAACGCTTTCCATCGGTATGTTCAATATCAAGCCAAATTACATCGAGTGGTATATCATGTTTATCAAAATTTTCATGTACTTCTTTTACATCGTCTTCATCATTGTAATTCCATCTACTTTGATGATAAGCTAGCGAAAACAACTGAAAACCAATAAAATATATGCCATGCGATACATCTAACATTTGGTATATGTTTCGAAGAATATGAAAATCATTAAGTAGAATCATAAAGAAAAGATCAGTAAAATTTAGATGTTTGATCACAGTAACAGGAAAAGCAATGCACACATACGGGTGGCAGCGGATAAACTCCAGTAAGTTTTGTATTCTGTCTGAATATGTCATCAGGCTTTGGACCTAACATTACAAAAAAATCAATAAGGCCAGATTCTGACATACAATGAACATCAATCTGCGGTACATCTACAGATCGTTTGAACTTTTCGACAAGTGAATGTAAAATGCCCTGAAAAAAAAATCAATCGATGATTAAAGAAACCAACTAACTCAGTAGTTACGATTTTATGAGTTCACTTTAAAAAACCTCCGAATTTCTAGTTTTCAACTTTTTATTGAAATGTTTTGTTTCCCATTGACATCAGTGATTTGAATTTGAATTACACTGAGAAAATGAAACATACTTTATCTGCTGTTGAAGAATTAACATCAACCCATGTTTCTGCAGCATTAAGCCACAGTAAACCTAAAGAAAGCTCTTTATTATGAGCTAATAAAAACGGTATTGCACCATAAAGAGCCATTTTTTCATTGATTTCATATTCAAAAACGTCCAAATTATATAATCGATAAGGATCCGTAGTCCTAAAAAGTTTTCGAGAATAAAATATTGTTAGTATCAGCAAAAAGTTAGCCCCAAACGTTTTTCTGCATCAATAACTTCTTTTAAACACTTTCAGGTAAAAATGTTTTTATCATACCTTAAACAATTCATCACTACTGCAGAAGCAAGAAAAAAGTCTGTCTGTCTGAACTTTATGATTCATATGAATACTTCAAAATTCTCAAAAATGCAGAAAACTTACGTCGTAGATCTTAGAGCTAGACTGTCCGCATGTTCCGGTAAACCATAGACAAATTTATAACCAATAAATGATATGTCAATACCAACCGAACTTGATCCTGAAGATCTAATTAAATTAAACAGGAATTTTTATAGACACATTTCATCAAAAATTATAGAATAAGAGATACCAAAAGGTTTGTGATCAATATGATTTTTGAATGTTTCTTGCCAAAAACCTTCCACGTCTGTTTCATTATCAATCTAAAAATTCACATAGCAATGACTAATGACTTGACTTTGTACAAAACTGAATCTAATTACTAATAACCAAGCAACTATAATTCGTGAAAATATAGAAAACACAAAAAATATTTAAACTCACAAAATCTTCAAATACTTTGAAATCATACTTTTATCTTAAAGTGTTCGAACTTCAATGCATTATTAGGATTGACACTGATTGTCAGTTCATCGTTGACAAAAAAATCTATTCGAAACGGCGCATAGCTCAAGATTACTTTTGCATTGTTGTCCATTATTATAAAAGTTGAAGTGTTACCAACTTCGACCGATTTAAAACTGTACAAAAAGTAGACCAAATTTAACAATACTCATATACTAGACGAAATTATTTTGTTTGAAAGTTATTACATCATTGCAGAAAAACAAAAACAAATTGGCAAAAAAAAATCTCTAAATTAATGGGAAACTAAGGATAGCAGGAATTTTTACAAAGACAGTTATTCAATATTTCGGCAATATTGACTGATTGTTTAAGTAGAAATTCCGCAGTACAAATAAAAATGAAATCTGATGTAATACATCAGGTAAAATTTACTCGACTGTTTTCAAATTATTTCCTTCTTTTAATGCATCAACAGGCTGGAATCGTGGTCGTAACGATCCTTCTTTTTCATCTATTAGCACGCGCATTGTTGCATCATTCAACGATACGATTTTCAAGTACAATTTATTAATATTACTCTCTAATTCTGCTATGATCACAGAACCATTATGTGTAACACTTCCAGGACTCACTTTATACTCTGATTTTTCTGCTTGAGTTCTATGGCGCCTGAAATATTTCATTTTCACCAACATTATGTCCATTTGAATTGCACACTTGGATTGTTCAAGTTCTGTTCACTCTTCTAAAACAATGATTATAATATATACACAATACAAATTTCTGAAATTAACAAATTCTCACCTTCTTACATGATATAAAAAAATAAGCTGTCACGTTAATTCCTTTTTAATGGTCATTCCAACGTTAAAAAAATTTACTGCCACAAAATCATTTAAAAATTTATTAGAGTTTTTTCTCCAAACAATGATAATAAATATAACTACAATTATACGTGAATGCAAAAAGAGACTTACTTGCAGAAGGCCGATTGCTCACATGTCTTGAAACTGCTTCTATCAACAGCTTCAGAATATTGTATACAGATAAGTAAAACAATGAAAGCATTTGAATAAAATAATGAATGTAACACACTGCACCATATCATTTTAAATTTAATACACCTAAAATTACCTATTTAAAGTTGTACCCAACCAATGGTAAAACTATTATTTATCTATACAGAAACAACTGCACAAAGACATGCAATTATCAACGAATTGTTATTAACGATCAGAACTTTTATCATTCAACATCAGAAGGATAACACGATGCAAAATATATTCCACGTCTCCACGTCATATAACTGATACAGCAAAGTCAAACTTTTGATAAACGTTTAAAAAAGTAAAATATTATACACAAATCAAACAGATGAACATACGGTGCGGACTGATTTTTACACAAAAATTTGATCAGAAATCATTTCAACAATACATTTCTAAGAGGAGAAAAAAGAGAAATTTCATGCAGAATAAAAAAAAGAACACTAAATGCATCTGTAAACCAGTTCTGATGAAGTGCTTGTTGACAATTAAAATGATAAGATCAAAAAGTAAATTCTGAACTCAAAACAAATTTTAAAATTAGTACAGAATGCTGGAAATAAGCTAACTTACACTAATGACCACCATCTAACATCTAACATAATTTGAAATTCAAACTGAAAACTTGAGTGAGTATGCTACGAAAATTACATGTTAAACTGAAACGTATAATCACATAACTTGAAAATTTTTTTTTCCAAATTTTTCGCAATTATTTTTGTTTTATTTATGTTTTTCCCTCAGAATTCACACTCACTTCTCTAACAAATATGCGCTTTCATAAGTTATAATGCGTAAAATTGTACACGTGAATAATGCGTAAAATTATCTGAACTTCCAAATATAATAAACTTAAAAATTAAACTTATATCAGGTATTTATAGTGTCAATATGACAAACAGTAATAACTGTTCATTACGACGCAAAGTGAAGACATAACTGCAAATTGTAACACGTGGCTTTTTTGGAGAAACTGAAAAACTAAATTTTTCATTACGAGCTCACTTCCTAGATAGACATTAGCTAACGTTAAAAATAAAAATACTGGAAATTAGTTGTCCTATTTTTAGAAGGCAGTTCGATAATGTGGAAAATTTTAACACGTTTTATAAACTGCTCCTTACGATTATATTCATGTGATAAAATGAAATGCACTAAAAATTTTCATACATGAACGCAAACGTGAGGTAAGTTCGTGAAGTTATGCTATACACGCTTATTTCGCATGAAAACGTGATGTAGATAAGGACAGAATCTAATACAGAGAAACAAGATATAAACAGTTACGAGGTCGTTCTGTCCCTTTCAAGACTCATTCCCTTTTATTTTTTTTAAATAGTAGCCTTTTTCGTTTCTTATGTGTCTTCTGACTTTTCTGGTGATTTACCTTTAACGTGAAAAATTTGCGTGGGATTCTATGTATTTTCTAATAAATACTTAATAGATCAACAGAAGTCGTCTAGAGATTCGCGCAATAGATAGGCTAATTGTGGCTTTGTGTCTCTGCATAGCTAGCGTTCATTTTGAGATAAAAAACTGACGTTAGCTAAGTCAGCGTCATCTACGTAAAATTTAGGTTAGATAAGGTTATTGGAGAGTAAGCAAAGTCAGTTTTGATCATCAAAGTAAAAAATAGGCTAAATGCAATCACAGATGCATATATTTTGCAGATCTGAACTTGTGCATTTGAAAATCAAATTATAAAGTATAAATTTTAACTGAAAAGTAAAATTTCTTGGAAATACAAGATTTTTATTGTAATTTCTCATTCTATGTATCATTTTGTGTGATAATTTTTGAATTTACTTTCCTTTGTATTTTTTTCAGATTTATGCTAAATGGGAACTCGTCTTGGTGTAGTGATAGATGGTTTTATCGCGGTTGATAATTTTCGAATAAAATCAGAAGACATCAAGTACTATTTTTTAACACACGCTCATTCTGATCACTATTGTTCTCTCGATGTAAGTTTACTACCAGTTGTTATTCATTTTTCTATAAAATTAACTTTTGTTTTGTTTTTAACCGAAAAATAAGCAAAACTTAATCAAATAAATATATTTTAAGGTCGCTTGGTGATCAATTCTGATATTTATGATTCGGTTATAAAAATACCCGGAAATTAGTGTTATAGATGTATTTGACATTTTAGTACTGTGATAAATATATCTATAACTTGTATGCCGGTTTTACTTTGATTTTGTTGGTCATTTAAAACGTGTATATATGGTATCGCAGGTGTTGCATTGTAAATGTAGTATACTAATATATTAGGGAAGAAACTATAGCCAGAATGATTTTAAAGTTTCACTGAAGTCGAGTACGGGGTAATCAGTCTAACAAAGTAGCAGTATTGTAGGTTCTGTAAATTATATATTCATTTCTTTGATTCTAATTAAAGTGAATACCAGTATGTGTTGCAGAATAAGTGGAATAGTGGGATTATATATTGTTCACCCATAACTGCTCAAGTACTTCCACTTGTGACTCATCGGTCCAGATCTAAACGATGTGGTGTAAATAAAAATTTTATTCGAACTCTGGAGCTCAATGTATGGCATCGTATGGATGGCTTCTCAGTGATGTTGTTAGATGCCAATCATATTTTTGGTTCTGTAATGTTTGTTTTCGAAGGTGATCGAATTCCAAATGGTCGTACTCTTGTTACTGGTGATTTTCGAGCAGATACTCAATTTTATCAAAATGTATTTGCAATGTCAATCTTACAAGAAGTAAGCATATTTAATGATTTATGTGCATGAATTACTAAGGTTTTCATATATTGAAAAATTTTCTAGGAAGATTTCATATTTTTTATAAAAATAGTCTTGAATAAAATAATAAGACTAAATGAAAATGCTTTGTTTCAAGTTACTTTAGTACATAAAGCAATTAAATTTCCAAATTTTTTAAGATTATTTTATCCATAATTAACACCTATTAAGAATAAATTTTTAGAAAAAGATTCATGTAGTTTACTTGGATGCTACGTATATTAATTGCACACAAAATGAATTCCCTAGCCGAGAAGCTTCAACAGCTGAAATTTGTGAGCTCGTGAATGAGCTACAAAAAAATGGTTCAAACCCAATAACATTTATTGTTCCGAAAATCGGTCGTGAACAGTTGCTCGTTGACGTTGCTACCAAATTTAAAGTATGTGAGATTTTGCAAAAATAAAAAGATAGATCAAATAAAATTTATATTTGTTTCAGTTTTCCAATTTCGTCATCTTGTTTTTCGCGATATGGAATTTTTTTTTTTGCTTCATGTTCTCTTTTGACTGCCTTTTGCAGTGCAAAATATGGACCGATAACTTGAGATATCAAATATCCGAGATTCTGGGACTAAGCGAGTATTTCACGACAGAACAGACAGAAACGTCTATTTGGACTTGTACAAGGCAGTAAGTTGATTATTTCTTGTTTATTTTTGTATTGAAAGTAAAGTAATAGTATTGAAAACTTTTTGAAATGAATCTATATCTTATTTAAATCCTTCAGTTCTGATGAATGTTAAAATAACAAAAAAAGAGATGGTGATTGAAGTATTGTGGCTTAAACATCAATTAAAATTCTTTGAGTTTTGAAATAATTTAGAAATGCTCGTTCTATTCTCACTTACTCCGACGCTCGAATTATTGATCCATCAATGTTATCGTTCACCAAAAATTCGTTGAAAACGTAAGAACCGTTTCATTTTACTCCCCAGTTTCATTACCAAAGATTTTAAGTTTAATTTTCAGGAACGAAAGGATACATCTAATAAAGTATTCAGACCACTGCAGCCCTAATGAATTGCGCGATTTCCTCTCTTTGCTTTCATTTTCACGAATTGTTGCTTTGTCAGCACAACTTTCTCAAGAACAGCTCAACCAGCTTGAGCAACTAAGTTTGTTGGGAACTAGCGATGCCCCTTCAGAAACTGAAATTAACGAAGACATTTTTGAAAAATTGAAATTGATCTCATCTTCTGTATTAAATAGGTTACTCGTAAGGAACTTACTCTGAAAAAAGTTTCATTATTCTGAGAAAAATAGTAACAAGAAAGAAATGGAACTTAATTTTATCTTTCATATTTTTCACTGAATAGTAAAACTGTATAGTTTTTGTTGTTTATAAAAGTTTTTTTTTTTTTATTAAATAAAAAGCCAGTTTGGTGTTCTTAAAATGGAAGCGAAAATTTTTTCAGAATAGGACTCGCAGATGACTACGCATTTAGGAATGTTTTTATGGATGAAAATTTGGTAAATACGGATAGCAATAAACATAATGAAGTAGATGGGAAAGTGCCGGAAATTGGATTAAACGAAAATAATTTTGTACCCGAAGAAATGCAGGAAACCGAAGTGCAAGTAAAAGCGTCGTCTTCTAAAGAGTCTGATAATGTTGTAGTCAAGGCAGATGAAAGGTCTCATGATTCCTCAATACGTGAAAAAGAAGGTGGTGAAGAATTACCTGTAATTAATGATGAGACTACTGATATTTCTGATTCGGTTGTGAAAAATATATGTAAAAACATTGACTTAGAACGCGTGATAGCAAACATCTGCGAAGAATTTTATGTTGATGAAAATATTAAAAAAAATGATCCATTGCATGAGTTATTGAATGAAATGAGTATATCGAAAGCAATTGAAGATTTGGGCGATATGAGTGAAAAATATAGAGCGGCAGTAAATAATATGGCAACAAAAGGTTTATTTATATTCTTTTTGATTTTTATTTTTGTCTGTGCTTTTTGCTTGAAATTGAAAATTTAAATTTTTGAAGGCATTAAATTTATGTATTCTAAAAATTACATCCATAAACCTATCTTAATGTTGTCAGTCAGTTATGAAAAACGTTTAAATCAATGAATATAAAGATTGTAAATTACAGTTCGTGATTTGCCCTACATTGCTGAAGAGCATGTTACTTATGACTGTTCTCAAGGACTACCTTGCATTGACATCCCTCAAGAATGGTTGGATGAATCAGGTTTTCTTCAGTATTTTCAAAACTTTTGATAATCACATCAGTGAGTCATTCAAATTTCTTGAATTTACTTTTGATGACAGTTTATGCATAGAAGTCATTTCAGAACAATTCGATGAATCCGTTGAGATTGAGTTGGATTAGAAATTTGTTTCGGTTTTTTAACGTTCAAAAAAAAATCATAATTCTGTTCACGTATCTTTTCATGTATGTGTTTTAAATAGTAAGCTTTTTATGCTGCGTGCAAAAATTAGATGTTTGAAAACGATCTACAATTTTATGCCAATTATTTTTTCCGTTGCATCTGAAATTTCTATAATTCTATAAAACCTTGTTAACTTCTCATTTGTTTGTATATATTTAATTTATGGTCTACATTTGTTCCCTTATCTTTTTATCTTAGTCGTACATTATTGCATAATAAGTATTTCGCTGCTTACTTGTAAAATAATGACAACTTTGTATATCAAACATTGTTATGTGCAGAGATCTTTATCATTGATTGTTTTGTTCAGTAGTATGAATTAATTCGGATCTGAAATATATGTCGAGATATTTTGTTTTTACATAGAGTTGTACTGATTGCTTGTAAATTTACTTATTTGTTCCACAACAGTAAATCCTGTTCATAGCACTTTGAAGGTTTTATCTATGTGTATGTCAACATGTGATTGATTGATTAGACCAAACAAGAGTTTAGCACATCTCATCCTAGAGCATTATATCAAGGCTTAAACTTGCCAGATCTCAGTTGCTTCCTCTATTCAAAGATAGATTAAGCTTTTAGTGATGGTAGAAAGGATGTTTTGTAATTTGAGGTTATCGAAATCAGGAATTGTTCAATCATACTCTGGGTCGTTATGTGTCGTGGGTTTCGTAAAGTTCTCAAGACTTGTCATGTGAAGATCAGATCTGATACATTTGTAAATTTCTAGCTTTTTCAACAAGTTAACTTTTATGTAATTGCAGTGAAGTTAAATACAAGGTTATAAACTTCAAATTAAATAAAATGGTAGCATTAGGTTTTTGGTATATCTTATCAAGATCTGAAACATGAGGCATAAGTAACAAATGGGTCGAGTGAATTTAGGTATGTACGAAAGTAATAATTGTGCATTGAAATTGTAAAGTGTATATTTCAGTTAAGAGATCAGTTCATGTAGTGTGCTTTTTTGACTTGGACTGAGGTGGAATGTTGATAGATCTAAAAGTGTTTTCTCTCCGAAGCATCTTGCCAATGTAACTGCATAAGAGCGAAACGCTTCTCGAACTTTAGGATCACTTCGATGTCTTGGAGGTGCTCGTAAAATGTCCCAAAGCACTGGTAAACTTGTCATTTCTACCTGCCTTGGCTTGATAACGTACACTGATTCGTTTAATCCTTCAATCATATTATGCTAATCAAAATTTACTAAAACTACGACCACGACTATTTATTTAAATTCATTACAGTGCTCTTCAAAGTTGGAAAATGTACAATGCTTCGTCTAAAGTAAGTACTGCATAACGATACTTTATTGATTGGTGCAAAAAGTTAGAAAATAATAGGTGAATTTCTTGTAGCATTACTTCTACAAAAACTTACTGCTTAATGTTTGTAACATGAATGGTTTTTGCTTGAAGTTTGCTTGTTTTGTTGCTGCTGCAAAAGGTGTAAGCAAAGTCCCATGTTCTGCAAATAATTCGAAAATTAATATCAGAAATGAATATCATAATTATTTTATCAAATTTCTTGGAAGACAAAAGATGCTGAATAGATGAAATTTGCTGAGATATAAGATTAAGTACTGATTTCAGTAACTGATCAGTAATTTTCTTTGAATAAAGTAATTAATTTAAGATATTTCTTTCTCAAATATAATACCAAACTTTATGCAAAATACACATTATTATATTATACTTTACTAATTTCTACTCAATCACTGAATTTTCGATCTATACAAATATTCAATACCGATGTATTTGGTGATTTCTTCGAGGCATAATTTTGCATGCTGTCGATGTTCTTCACTTCTACTAGCCAGATGTGACATAAGTGAGTTGATCAGCTGGTTGACTATTGTTTTTAAGGACATGACCTTCGAAATATATCTTAAATCATGATTAAATCATGATTTTCACGAATTTTTGATTATTACTATGACAAGAGTTAAAATTATTGAATGAAAATATTTTTTTTATTGCAATTGTAACGATTATTTCATGAAAATTTCAGACTGAAATACAAGAACAATATTTGAAAAAAAAGATCTAAGTGAATAATCTTTAATAAGTTTAAATTCTCAAGATTTGTTTTTGATAAATTTTTAAATGGTTTTGTTGTGATTAATATTGTTTGATGTTGCAAATTCAAACTTATTTTATTTAAAATCATTAAGTTATAGTTTTCACTTCAATTATTAATTCCATGTTTAGTTTCAGAGTCACGTGCACTAATTTTATAGCGAAGACTAAATTTAGCTCATAAGAAAAAATGAGCAAAATTTAGATCAAATTTTTGTTGCTAATGCATCGTATGAATATGAAATACTTGTTTCTCACACTTTTCATAACATATGTGTTATTTTGAACTCACGTAGAAAATATTGGAAGGATGGATATCAACGTTTCCATAGCTTCAATTGCTACTTTCGCGTTAATATCACACGTACGGCTAACAAATGCTCCCAAAATCTTTGTATCTGATAGAACAGCATCGCCATTGCTTAATAATACTCTTGCCAATTCTCGAAGGCCTTTTATTCGTTGTTCCCATCTAAAAATTTGATATATATTTTACAGAATTTATTTTTCTGTTTATTGTATTTAAAAAATTTTAATTAAATTTAAGTGATATTACGTGATATACTCAGCGTACGCAATTTAATCTGTTTACGATCTGCATATACAAAGAACAAAAGTTTCATTTGTAATGAATTAAAATAAATATTTTACATATATTTGTTTATCTATTCTATTACTTAATTTATTGAATTTTTTTTACGTGATCACGTCATCAGAATTATAATTATGCTAAATTAAGTAATATTTATCCTTATACTACGTAAGCGAATTGACTAACATTTAAGTAATTATTACTACTTCAGTGTGAGATTTAAAATTCTTGTCTTGAATTCTAATATTTTATTACAGCAAGTCCAGTTTTACTAGAATCGTAGTAGATGAGAGTACAAACAACACAAACCGCCTATTAGGCATTTTTTTTTAAGCTTAATTTTTAATAATAAAAAGTGTTTACTGGCTTGCGATCAGATCATTTCGAATTTGCAGCAAATCTTGTTGCACAGCTTGTGGCACTATCAATTTATTTCCGTTGTTACTAATACGACGAGAACTAGAACTTCGACTTATTCCACTTTGTGGAATCGATGAAGCATCTAAGTTACTTCCATCCAAACCCTAAATAATTTGTTAGCAATATTAGTACTTACTTACTTTTGGAACACAAAAAATATTGTCAGTAAATTAATAGAATTAGAATTTATCAAAAAGTATGTCATTAATTTTTATTATGAGAATTAAAGTTATAAAAAATTAATGAATTTTGCGTTAACTAATTAACTAATCTACATTAATTGCATTTCATTTATTTCAATAATCGTTGTAGCATTTGTGAATATGAATTTAAACCATCTGCAGCCAAAATATATTATTTATACGTTATAACTAAATATAAGCAAGAATAAATATTCTCACTCTTTTTTTAATCATTTCTAATATTTCACGTAGTTCTTGACGATCACTTTCATTTAGACTTTTACGTACGGCATCGTTGAATATTGGAATATTCTGTAAAATATAGATTTTTTGAAAAAATGCGAGTTCTTTTTTGAAACTATTTCCGAATGAAATTATTTATTCATTTATTTGTTTTAAATTAATTAAAATTGCGTATTTAATTTACAAGAAAAAATTCGGCAAATAACAAAATATTAATATAAGAATAGCACAATATGCAATAATGTCTAATTATAATGTCTGTTTTTAAAAATTTTTTCAAGCATTTGCGTGTAATACGTGAGTACACAAAACTTACTGTTGTAAAAATTTAGTAAAAAATCATATATGTTTTTCTTCCATACGAAAATGGCAAATGAAAGATAACAGCTGAAATAATTGCTATTCTGATGTAAATTTACATCTTCACCTTGCTGAGAAGTTTGATGCCGCATTTTCCGCTGTATCTCACCGTAGCATTGGCGTCTTTAGCAAATTGAAGTAGACTTCTGAGATATCTCGGAAATTCTACACTGCATATTACATTCGTTGGCCCAACACGTTCTACTAACTTCACTAACAGACTTGCACAACTAGACCGAATCATACTGCTTTTACTGCTGTAAACTGTTGAACAATGAGTGACCATGTGAGTGAGTTATCAGCAAAAAATTATTATTTATCAACATAGTTGTCAGTATTATTATTTATCAACATAGTTGTCAGTATTATTATTATTAATATTATTACCGTTTATTTTAAATGAACAAAATGTCATCAATAATAATAATGCTCATTGTTTCTAGAATGTTATGGCATAGTGATATCAGTGATAATAATGATAATTATTTTCTAGAATGCTATAGCGAATAGTTATATCATTTCACTATCAGTTAACTGCGGACTAATGTATACGCCAGCATATAGTGTAGTCACTGAGCATTGCACTACATAAATTAGATTTGGAGGCAAAAAGTAATAATAGTTGTAATGATTGATGCGGATTCTAGCTAGTAATGATAGTATTATGATTAAATTCAAATTTATTTAATAATCACTTTAAAAAATTGATTATTAAATTCCTAAAAATAAAGAGGTAAATAGGCGCCAAAATCGTATATAATTCATAAATTATTCAATGCCTTATAAACGATGCAAACTTCATGCTGAATTTTTTTTTGAAATTTACTGAGCTTACTTCAAATTCATACGGAAATTTTTAAATTTTACTTAGAAAGTGAATTATCGTCATTATAAATGAGTGATATAATCATTTTTATAGACAGCTATAAATAAATAACTAAACGTATAATCTTCCGTCTTTTTGATAATTGTTTAATTTTTCAGTGCCCCATAAGGACGTGGATGCTTTTATGCTTTACACGTAATGCTCTAAAGAATTTAGTATGTATACATTCTTCGTAGATCATAATCTTGTCTTGTTTTCCTAAGTGATGCACGCTTTATATAACGCTTTCTACGTACTAAAAATTTCATCTATCACTATAGATTCTATCTAAAAACTTCATATCTCATTATAAATTCATATTTTAAAATCACATATATGCATCGTGTAAAAATTTTTTACTAAACATTCAAATAACTGACTTGATTTGACCTAGTCGATAGATTAACGTTACTTTTTTCAAGCTTGGCTTTAGCACCAAAACCTGATTTTACTTATAACTAGCTTGAAGAACTTACTTTGCTCCAGAAGTGACCAAAGCATTCAACACTCTTACAGGTGAGGCATACTTGACAATTTCTTCAAGCGCTACTGTAGCATCATCTCGAATAAATGCGTTACTTACGTCACCAGCTTTTTGCATTAATACCAAACAAATCTAAATCATTTCAGTTCTTATTTAAATAAAAGATTAAAATTATTATTCCAAAGTTAGCTTTTTCAGATTCAAAATTCTTGAATACTCAAAAATTGTGCTTGTATTCAATGGTTTGTATTAAAATTCTTGTAAATTGTTGCCGATTTTATGGATGCTTTTATACTTTTATACTTTTTTAATACTTGTAAAATACTTAAAATAAAACTTTTGCTATATTTATTCATACTTAAAATTACCACTAGGATTTGTATATTTCATCAAATTTATCCATAAAAGCTATAATAGAAAACTTATTAGTATTATTAGCGTAACATTATTATTTATCACACAAAATAATAATATTACACTAATAATAATATTAAGTAATATCTAAATAATGAATGTAACTGTGTATTTTATATATTTTTTACAATTACTTAGAAATGGAAGATGAAGTACTACAAATGAAAGATTGATCATAAAATGTCATGGAATTATACAGTAAAAGAATTAATTAATTTTATAAAGTTTTGTTATAAAAGAAATTTGCTTTCTGTTATTAAAAAAATACTATTTTCTGGAAGTAATTTTTTTCTTTAAATAATAAATTTTTTCTAAATTATATAAAGTATTACTTTTTCAATATCTATATCCATTGTTGTTTTTAGATTCTGAAATAATCCAGCAAAAGCAACGATTGCTGCGCGAGATACTGTCGAGCGTAAGTTCTTACATTCCGTGAGTAATTTTGGTATTACAGAATGAATATTTTCAACCAATACTTCTGGTGCTATTTTTGCTAACGCGTTAATTACTTCAATTGCATCTAATTTTAAATTCCTAAAATTGCTAAATTAGTACATATTTTAGGTATATGTTACTTATAGATTACTAAAGTGATTAATGTCACTTGATTAATTATTAATTAATGAACTGATAAAACAAAATCTAGTTAAATTCGTTAAATGCATATAGATTTCATGCTTATTTGGTTCAAAAACTATTTCAAACTGTTTTTAAGTCAGTTTAAATAAAATATTTTGGGATGTCATTTTCTGAAAAGTATCAGAAAATAATTCAAATTTTAAAATGAGCAACTGAGTTCTAATTTTTTAGCTTGAAGATTGCGGCAGACAAATAAATATAAAAATTACTTAATGCTATTCCTATGTGGCATCAGGAAGTTCAATTGATTAGGATCAAAAATCAAATAATTTCTTAGTTCGATCTAATAGTTTGAATTTTTTAGTATAATTAATAATTGAATTAATTAATCTGACTAAAAATACTAGCAAACAACAATAATACCAGTCTTCAGCGATTATTTTTTGCAACGCAGCATTTAAGGCGTTTGATGGATTTTTCGAGATAACTTCGAGACTCGGAACACTCCTGGAACTTCTGAAGATACTTCCAGTAGACGAAGCATTAGATAAAACACTTCTCATTGATGATGCTGACTTAAGCTTGGTGGCTAAGTAACGGCTGCTATTTTTGCTATCTTTTTTCTGTAATTGTACATTTTAATTTGAAAATTTTAATTTTGTGAGTAACACATTTAGAGTAAGGTTGAATTCCAGTTTTTCAATAATAAATTTCAAATATTTGCCAAATTTTGAAAATACTATCTGAAAATAATTCAGGTAAAAATAAAGATGAAGTATAATACAGTTGAATTTTAATAATCACATTTGTTTATTTATTGAATAAACAAATGTTTTTATTACTAAAATTAATTTCCAATGGATGTTAGGTAAAAATTAAATACATGCAGTGAAGAAATAAATTTGAAATGAAGAAATTTTAATTAATTCTTTAATTTTGTAATTTTTTGTGTCAGGGTTATTGTGTTACAGCGTTACAGTAACAGTAAAAGTAAACTAAAAATTTTGTATTTGACGTGGAAGCATTTAGAATCAAATGATCACTTGCGTGATATGTCAACAAAAAATTAAAAGCCACTAATTTCTTCAATATTTCTATTTATTCAAGCTTATTTCATATTCGAATTAATGTAGTTTATTTTTATAAAGTTATTTTCGATATTTTTTGATCCAGTTTTTAAACTCTCTATCAGTAACAGAAAAAATAAAATAACCTGAGTATTGTTCGTAATTTTTGACGTTGAAGCTAAATTTTGATGACTGAAACTCTTTTTTACCACAGATATTGGATAATGACCTGTTGGAATGGATGGTTCAGATGGTGCATAACCTAAAATAACATAAAAATTATATTTGAATTCAAAATTGTATTCTGCAGATTCTTGAATATCACTTGCCTATATAATTTATTCCAAGTAATTTTTAATTCTACTTCATGTAAACACTCAAATTTTTTAATGTACACATTTAAAATTCAAAGTATGATAAATGTACAAAACTTAGTTGCTAATTAAATTTCTTATTAAACTTATCAAAACAAAAATTCAAAATAGTAAACAAACTTAATGTTTTTGCAAATTTAACAGTATGAATTGAGTATTTTGAGATTAAAGTTTGTTTGTAAAACAGATTTTGCGATTTATACTAACACTTCATACTAATATGAATGCATTACTTATTAATTTTATTTATTTATTTTTTTCAACTAAAGAATTCAATTTATACTTATACTTTACTTTAATGATGAAAGCTAAATGTGATATGTTTGTATTACTCTAATTGAATACATTCTATCAAAAACGAAAATTCAATTTATACTTGTTCAACAGATAAATTTTGCATATTGTATTCAATTTTTCTTGCACTAAAATTAAAATAAGATTACCATCGCAGTAGTTTCCAGATTTTGTTGGTTTGATTGGCAACTCATCTGGATTCATTCCTTTACCCATTTGAGGAAAATGATTGGGCTTAAAATTGTTATCTGGACTTTGACGTCCCATTCTAAGTAATCTAAAAAGTTTATGCATAATTTTGTAAATATCAATTTTACAACTATAAATAAATAAGTAAGCAAATTATCCATTCAAATTAGCACGTAATTATGTAGTATTTAGTCTATAATTACTATGAAAGATAAAGTTATTTTGACGTATAGTACTGCGTAATATATATGGTAATGTTCATATTGTCAATACAGAATCTCCACTTTAGATTTATTCTTCTTCAAGTTGATTTTTAGAAATAACATTTTAGCATATTTTCAGCACAGTTTATAATATTTTAAGATATGATTGAGGTAAAAATAACTATTTTTATTTCTTATTTTTGAATTATTTACAAATCTAACCCATTTTTTAGAATCCTTCCTTGATTTGACTGTTTTTTGTTTGCAGATTGTCTGCTTGCTTCATTACTAGTATGAAAATCAGAATCAGTATTGAATACTGATGGATTCAGTTTATTATTCAGATCCAATCTTTCAAGATGTATTTGATTTACTTGATGTAATGACTGAAAAATTTCTCAAAAAAGTATAGCACAGATATCAGTTCCTTAATTAAAAACAGTTTTTATGTTTAACTTTTGAAAAATATAAATTTCATATTAAAAATCTTGCAAGAACTTTAAAGTAAATCAAAATTTCGTGCTGAATTCAGAATCAATTTCAAATCACTGATAACTTCAAAATTACTTTGCGCAAATTACTATATTTAAAAGTCGATAACCAAAAGTAATTGAGTAATAAAACGATCAAAAACGATAATTTATGATATGGGGAAATTTTTCGCAATTTGAATTTATAAAGTGATAATTTCAAATATTGCTGATATCAATAATTAATCTATTTACTAAAAAATTTCTGTAAATAAAAATGTAAAGCATTTAAATTCAACCTCAGTTTCTTTCCGGTCCTCATTATGGCTAGTATTTCCTGAAATTTTCATTAATTAATTAAACAGAAAACAGAAAAAGTTAATTAATTAAAATAAATGAAGTAATAAGTTAATTAAAGCTTTATCGAATTTGAAGACTGTTTCACCGTTGAGTCGTGAGTGAGTAGTGCCATCAGAACATGGCCTAGAATCCAGCGATTCGTCCTGAAATTCAAAAAATTATCCTATTTCCATTTAAAAAACATGCAGAAACAATTTGAATTAACAAAATTATTATTTGTTAATTATAAAGGGCAATAAAGTATATTTTTACAAAAATTAGTTGAATAAGTCAAAGTATTCAAAAAAATGAATATTAAGTTGTTTCTTCAGTTAGCCACTATATTAACTATTTAATTTGAGTGGACATTAAGTCAGAGTTCAATCTAAACATTATTTTTGGGACTTATGAATAGATATAAAATTTTAATAAATAGTATTTTTGCTTCAAACAGTAATTCAAAAAAATTTTTATCAAAATTACTGCAGTTTGTTGATCAATTAAATACATGATTTACTTACTGGTAGCTTTTTTTTAAATGATTTTAAAGTTAGTTTGTAATTTTCATAAAATATAAAAATACTTTTATATTTAAAAAAATATTTTTCGTAAAAAAACTTTTATATTCAATCAAATTAATTGTATAAGATAGAAAGTCAAATTTACTTCATTTAATTTAATGGAAGAACCGTTTAGTGATTTCACTTGCTCTTCAGAATTTTTAATCGATGATTCTTCCAAGTTTGAGGATGGAAATTTGATTACTGAAGCCGTAGGCAGTCTAAAAATAAAAATTTATTCTCAATCAAATTAATATTGACTTCTTGAATTTAATTTGAATTTGAATAATTTACATCAAATTAAATTTGAAATTAAGCGGCTTGAATAACCTGGAAAACATATTGCTTGATTCACTACTTCCACTCATGATCCACTGGTAATCAAGATTTTCTGTGCTATATCGTAGTTTATTGATTGAAACATCGGAATCAAGAGGGGTGGCATATTCAATCAAACCATCACGACGAATTTTAGGAAGTGTCTTGCGTGATATCCTTACCTGTCAAGTTTTTAATTCCGCAAAATACATGCTAGAGCATTAAAAACAAAGTCTTTTGACAATTATTTAGTAATTTGCTACTATTTTCAATATTACAATAATTGTTCTTTGAATTGTTTCGCTCATTTATTATTTCTTATACAATTATGAATTAGACAAAATTTCATGATAATATTTAGAATAAATAGTTTAATGCAAGTAATTATTAATAAGAGAAAACTTAGCAAACTTTTATGGCACTCAAAAGTCCATAATTTCCATATTTTTGCTCCAAATCAGTTACGGACTTCAGTAATTCTTTTACAGAATCATTGGAACAATGAACAACAACAGCAAAGAGCTCAAAGGCTGCTAATCTGCAAATATAAAATGAATTTAATTAAATACAAAACATATTAATCATCATTATCTCTATAATATTATCTTTATGATAAGGCTGAAAGTCAATAGCAAATGATTTTACTACTGTTGATGGTAGTAATAACTATTATTAACATGATGGCATCTGAAGTTAGCTTCACAGATGTCATCATGATAGTTACTGTAACTGTCTAAGACATCATATTCTGAAAAGTAATTTTTTGATTTCTTTTCTTCAAATAACAGATAAACTTTTCTTGAAATGAATATGGTTTTGAATAAGGTCAAAGTTCGAAAATATATTTGAATAAATATTGAGATAAGTTTTGTGTGAGTGTAATTTATATTTATTTGTATATAGCTTCTAGTTACTGATTTTGGAAGCAAGAAATATTGAATATAAATTGTAAAAATTTTTGCTAGCATAACTTTTAACTCATTTTATCTATTTTGTGATGTGATTCATTAGAGTTTTATACTTGCTTATTTTGAATAAAATTACTAAAATATCTGTACTTCAACGTTTAACAACTATAACTTGTTATTACTTTTACTATAAATTTATTTAAAAAAACTTTGGATTATGTAAAAAAATTTCGCATTGCATAAAAATGATAAATATAATATCAAATTAAATGTACAAAAGTAATTTGCTAACTTTTGCAGTTTTTATTTTAGCTTACCTAACACGTCGTTTTGGATCAACGGTTAATGGTACAACAACATCACCAATCGCTTTTAAATTGATGGAACTTGAATCAAATTTAAGTAATGAAGCAGTAATAATATTTAGAATCTGAAGAAGAAATTGAATCAATCACTGCAATAATTAATCTAAAAAATTGAGATGTAATATAGTTTAGTACTTGTGACAAAGCAAATTTATTAATAAATCCGAATAATTACATGTTAATAAAATCAGAAATGATTCAAAAAGTAAGTGGTTTTTATTTTTGATTAATTGTAATTGTAGACTTTTTAAAATTTTATATAAAGAAGAATTTAGTAAAATTCAAAAAATTACACTGAAAAGTATCGTATTCATTTTAAAACAAATTTATCGAAAATAATAATTTGAAAAACTTTTTTTAATTTAACAAATTTGTAAATTTGAAACAATTTTGACATTTAAAAGCGAAAGACTTAGTTGGATGAGATGAAGAAAAAAATTCAGTCTTCTGAATAATCGAATTAAATGTAATTTTCTTTAAACAATGGAATGAATAGACTATTTAAAAATTATTGTTTTCAGAATGAAAAAAATACCGTAAAATAATAAATTAACTCCAGAAAGTAATACAAAAACTTACTGAATTCAAAATTGACTACCAAAAAGTAATGCAAAAACTTACTGAATTCAAAATTGATTACCAAAAAGTAATGCAAAAACTTACTGAATTGAAAAATTCAAGAATTAATTTCAATGTTTACAATACTCAAAATATGACCTCTTCTCGAATCCGTGAACTTCGATGCTCTGAATAGACGCATAAGTGTGAAATGACGTTTTTTGATGAACTATATTGCATTGTAATCATACAAATTATCATAATTTTCTGCTTAAGTGACAGTTTTTGACTTCCAAAATGTTTAGATACTAAGCCAACAATTTGCTGAAACAAACAAATTATTATTATTTAGAAGTAAATGATTCGTGCACAAATTTTTACTTCTGCCAAGTTTACTTTAGTTTTTACTTTAATTTACTTAAGTTTACTTTTTTCAATTTTTTGAAGCAATTTAGTCTGCAATTTGAATTTTTGAAATATTTTTAGTGACAAAAGTTAAAAGTTTTTTTTTTTTTTGGAAAATTTGGTGGTAAAATAGTCAATAAAAGTTAAATAATAATTGGATTTATAATAGTATAGTAATCTGAAATTTGATTTAATCAGTAATGCAAATTAGAAAGCAAGTTTTTGCTAATATTTTAAATCAAAACTTTGATTTATAATTTTGAATAATTGATTTATTTGATTAGTTTTCATTGTTATATTGAACTGAAACAATGTAGCTTCATTATTTTTGCAAGGATTACTTAATCAAAAAATTTTGCGCGATAAAGTTTTCATCATAATTATCAAGTAAATATTACTTTGTAATTAAACTTACTATTATATAATCAATATTTTAACTTTTAAGACCTGAGTATATGGTGATATATATGATCCAATTTTCTCCAGCGTTAATTGAAGAACATCGAGACATACAGAAATTACTTTAAAATTTAAATCATCCAAAATATTGCCCAAAGTTAAAAAATAAGAATGCAAATGAGTAGCAAATTTGCGCTTGTCCTCAAATGTGATCTCATTTATAATTTTTTTCACCTGCAAATTTGAGAAATTTAAATAATAATATTGGAATAAAATAACGTAAATGATGATAAATTGATAAACTGATAACAACACGTGTAGCAGAATTTGGTTGATGTGTTACAATAACTCATTAAATAATAATAAGTAACTTATCTGATAATTATCCAATTAACAAAAATTTTAATTTATTGGTAGATTATTCAATTAAACAATGGCAATAGACATTTTATCAAATATTAAGATTTCTGAAAGTTAATGTAAATATTATTCTAATGATAAATTAATTATGCTGATACCTTATAAAAACTACAAAAAGTATCACACACATCAATTAATAATGGCAGTTTTGATAAAATAATTATGGCATTTAGTATGATAGAATTACTTAATTTATTCATAACTGATTTTAAATTCAATCATATCACTGGTTTACACATTCTAAATTATGAATTTTAAAAAAAATTATCATTTCAAGCATTATTTATTTATTTATTCTTTGCACAATACAATAAATACTGTAATTAAACAATTATGATTTTAGTTTAACTAGAATTATAATTTCAGTAAATAATTTTTAATTTAAGATTTACCGTATAATTTCTTTTATTTTTATTTGTCTAATTTCAGTTTAACTAAATTTTTTACTGTGCATTGTTATTTGAATGAAGTAAAATTGTAAATGACAATAGTTTTAAAAACTTATTATCAAACAAATATGCTCATTACTAAGGATAAAATTTATATCAAATACAAACCTGCTCTAAAGCGGATAATCTCAGTAAAGGGTCACTTTCACTGTTAAGCTGATTACTAGTTGTTACGGGAATGATACCGAACCGATATCGCAGTTCTACATCCATACATGGTCCACTTTTAGTATCCTCTGGAAAAGTATCTACAAAATTGCTATGAAGATTATTAAAGTATGAAAATATAATTTTAAGCAACTGAAAAGATTTATTTTGTCTTACAAAATCAATTCTTGCAAATTTACTGACTGCTATAACTTTGCATAATTTATATTTAATTCAAGTTTCGCTCCAACTTTCACTGGATATTCACCTACACTTCAAATTCTGACTTTATATTTTAAATTTGGATTAATTTTTTTGCAATTCGGATCAAAAGTAAGTGTTTAATTTCAGATTAAAAATTATAAATTATACTTTTTGTTATCTTTTTTGCTCCAAAAATAATTGGCTCATATTTTTTGCATATTTCATGCTGTTCTGCTGTTAAATCAGTCAGAATATGTCGAAGTTTTGTTGCACCCAAATATGCTGCAAAAGTAACTTTTAAGTAAATTCACAAACTACAATACTATTTAGAATCCTATAAAAGTTGCCAAAGATCCGTAGAAAATTATTCTGTTATAAAAGATACATTATCGATTTACCAACTGACTCCAGTAATACACTTGATTATTTTTAGCATAATTAGCACTCATTATTTATCAGTTATATGCTACTGATTTATTTAATAAGTCTATAGAACATATGAGATTAAATGATCATTTTATAGTGTTACTTATTGTATAAATAATTTGAATAATTGTCATTGGATTTCAGTGAATCTAAGTTAGCATGAAATGAAGTATTAGAATTGAAAAAGCAAATACAAATGCTTAGCATTCAATAAAACTTTATAGTAATATGAACCATTGAAATGGGCTAGAAGACAAGCAACAGATTCTTGTCTTTTTGCTGAGGGATTCAGAATCATTATTTTAGTCAAGCCGTCAATGAGGGTTTTCCAGCTCTGATTTGTGAATTCTGGTATTAGAAGATTTGGAATCTCACGTAAAGCCTCCTCGATTATTGCATCTTCAATTTTATCGTTGAGTAAAAAGCCTACGATTACTTTCTGAAAAATAGAGCCAAATAAGGGATGACAAGCATTACGAATCTGATTTATTTGCTTCTTCAGACTAAATTCTGTTTGTACTGAAATATTTTGAAAATTGTGTCTAAATGAATAATTATTTATTAAATTTAAGCACAATAATTCAATAAGAATAATTAATAAGCATAATAATTTAATAACAATAATTAATAAGCACAATAATTTAATAACAATAATTAATAAGCTTATAGCAATGAAATTAATTATAACAAAATAAAAAAGAGCAAAACTATTAAGGGATCAAGTTTTATGTTAGTATTTGTGTGTGAATATCATTAACGAAAGCTTTTTGCAAAATCAATAAAAACTCTAGCGAAAATAAAAAATTTTTTAAAGTTAATAAAATTTTAAGTTTTAATTTTTAATAATAAGTAGTTCTGTTAATAATTTTAATTTTATATGCACAGAAGAAAGTAAAACTTGCCTGCACAGTCTTTGAAGCAGAAGGCTGCAATTTCATGTAAGATATCAATGTTTGATTCGTTATTCTACGAATTGTGATTTTAGAACTGCCCATCTTGTTCACGATATATGGTAACAAGTATGATACGCACCATTCCACGTACGTAAAAGAAATTTTAATATGATTTCAATTCAGTTATTAATTTTCAAAATACTACATCAAAGTACTGAGAAAAGTATTTTTAAAGTAGTAATGGCACAACGAGAATATTTTACTTTTTTGGTGTGATTATTTCGTCAAGGACAATTCAAAAAATTAAAAATTGCATAATAACAACAATAATTATCATTATTATATGCATTAATTATTATTATTATATGCATTATAAACTGTTATTATTATTATTATCATTGTTAACAGTAATAATAATAGTATAATGTTACAGTTAAATTTCTTTCTCAAATTTTATAATTAATAACTAACATTTCCAAATGTTGGCATGGCATCATGCAAAAATTTGATGCACTGATGTTGAATTTCCCAGCGATTATCTGCTAAAAGCACTTCAAACTGCTTGAAAAGGTCACCCTTTTTTGCAAACTTTGTAAACCATTGAGGGTCACGTTTGATCCATACTATAAGGCGATTTAACATCTGAAAAATTAAACTGAATATATCATATTTTAATGAAATATTAGTTGCAACAATTTGATTTTTTAAGACTTTGAGATCACTATAAATTTTTTATTTTAAAATCAATGTTTGATCTTTTTCTTTGCTGTTTTTGAAAAATATATAAAATTTTAAAACATAATTTTAATGTATTAGAAGTCAAATGACTCATAAAAATGCTTCAGTAACTCAAAATGTACCTGGTTTTTTTAATAATAATTTTTTAATAATTCAAAAATTTTTTAAATTAAAAAAAAAATTTTATGCTATTTGCTAATTTTTAAATTTTTACGCATATTTTATGTTATTGCATAGTAAAAAGTATGACAAGTTATAGCATACCTGTAAACGAACATCAAAATCATTACTACTTAAATGTTCGATGATAAAATCATCTCGTGGCAAAGAGTGTGCCATGTCTTGATCAGTCGTGATCGGTGCAAGCATTCAAACTACTTGAAAATCAAATTGTAGAAGATATTTAAATTGAAAGAAATATTGTAGAACAATGTTTGAATATTCAACTGACAGTAATGATAGTAATGGCGGTGGTAAAAGCATACAGTACTAATTAATGCATACATTATAACAAAAGCAGAATTCAGTGCTAAAATCAGTTAATTTTGAAATTATCAAGTTTCTTTTGATAATTCAGATTGACAGAATTTATTTTTCATGATCCATGAGATAGAAAACAACAAAAATTCAAAATAATGCCACAGATATCAAAAATCCTTGATCGATGATTGATTTGATTGTTAGTTTATTTCAGAAACAATAATTAATTAATAAGTGACTGCAATAAAAATAAGCTTAAGTATAAAACAAATTTATTATTTCCATTAATAATAAAATCTACTGTATCAATATATTTATATAAGTCGAAAGATCTCGCGCAGATATGCTAATGAAGAAAGGAATTCTGCTTCAATTCATTAAATTTCCATTTTAAATCCTAAAAATGTTAAGAGATAAAAAGTGATAAATAATTTAAAATATATTTCAGAATAAATATGATATCATTGAAAATCATTAACTGTTATCAGAAATGAGCCACAATTTATTGATGAATTATTTTTATTGATAATTTGATAAAAAGCTATTATCAGAACATTACAGTATATTACAGTATATTATCTCCTTTCTACTTCATTTTGCTCCTTAATATTACAAAAAATTGAAAATAAACCATGCTTATTAACACTATGTCTTTGAAAAAACTGAAATTATATAAATGTCAAAGGTTAATATCTAATTTGATTAGTTTAATAAGCAGAAATATTGCAATTAAGTAATTTGATCATAGCTTTTTTTCTCAAAAATATTTATTGTTCCAAAAATTTTTATAAAAATTTCATTAAGAATAAATTTATAAATTGAATAACCTTTGCTTACAACAGTAGCAATGAACTATATCATATTTTGATAATTTCAGAACGTTAATAATAAATGTAAGTAAAAGATTATTATATCAATTGCGCATGCTTAAAATAAGAGTTTATATTTAACAAGGATTAAAGGTGAAAGGTAAAGAATGATTTTAAGGCAGTCAAGCAAAATGAAAAATAAGTTAGGCCTTAGCTCGATCGTTGCTAGGTAACTGATTACACATCGAAACAAACCGAGATTGGCTTTTAATTCAAAATTACCACAACATTCACGCTTTTTTTGAAGAATAATTTAAATGACTGATAAATTTCAAACTTGCGCTGATCTACGTGTGAATTATTTTGCTTTTTTATGTATTATTGAATAACTAAAATAGCAAGTGATTATTGTCTTTTTTTTAATGTTTTAGAAGTCAAACTTAATTTTATGAGTTAATTTATCAAAAAGTATTTAATTATTTGATTACTAATACCATTTCCAATTAACATAAAATTTGCGAGAATAATATGATATAGAAAATGTAAATTGTAATACATATGTAACAAAAATCACTTGAAAAATAATACTACATAGAACTATTTAAATTAATTAAACTATTTTCACTGATCTGTTCAAAACGCATTTTACTTAATTTTAAACTGCAAAAATGATTTTAAAAGCTTCAATTAAATAAATATTATTAATAATCAGTTGCAAAAAATTAAATTACTATTTGAAAATTAAGAAAACTTGTTTATATTATGCTTTATAAGCTATTTGATCATATATTTGTCAATAAAAAATTTAAATCTACTTCAATAATTGCAACATAATGCATTTGTGATAATAATTGATCTTGTGATCTTCAGTTGATCAATTATCTTGTTGACAGTTATTGACTAATTAAATAATTACTGCAAAACAAAACTTAAGGCTGCAGTTTTCAATAAAAGTATATTTAGTAAGTTAACATTTGTCAGAACTTTAAAAAAATCGAGAAAACTAAAAAAGTATGATCAACTTATACTTACAGAAAAATGTTAAGTCAAAAAAATCGTATTTTAGATAGCATTTTTTATGCTATTTAAAATTTAATTTTTTTTAGTGCAATTTTTTTTATTCCAAAAATTTGATTTTTAAGTTTGTTGTTATCAAGACTATCAAAGTAATAAACTGCTTTCATTCTAAGATTTTTTGATAACATGTTCAATTTTTTTTAAAATGAAAATAATGCTATGATCGAATAATCTGATTATATATAAACTTCAGTATCAATGAATGTCAAATTATTAGAAATTATTGAAAAATAATATATTTTTTTGCTACTATTTTTTTTATTTTTTATTTTATAACAACTTTATTTTCAAATTTTTTGTTGCTTGAAGCATTAATATTTTCAAATTTTATAATATAACAGAATTTATGCATTTTTTTATTCCAAAAAATTTGGCTGATAAGAATGTGTCCAAGTTTTAAAAATTAATCCAACGTGTTGGCTACTTTTGTAATTATTTTTCATTTTTTAAATAATATTTATCTGTCTAACACTAATAAAGTATTTACAGATTTGGAAAATATTACAGACACACATATGCATGAAATATTATATAAAAAGTTGTTTAAGTTTAAATTATTAGCAGTGTTTAATTTTACAGTAATATGTGAAATCTATAATTTTTATAGAACGTCTAAGTTAGCCCTAAGATAATTTTACGTAATAAAAAGTATGCGTAAGAATAGAACTCGTTTAATTATAATTTTATGCGAATATTTCTAGTAACCAATAACTAATTACTACCATTGCTTTTTTCACAATCCAAATTATAAAACCGAATGCAAAAATATCAGAGTGCAAATAAAATATATAATAATATCATAATTGCAAAACTTAAGTAATCAATAAATTGTTTTGATAAATTATTTATGCTCAATTTGAGGTTTTATTGATTTAACTGAAAAATATTGTTTATTCATTTCTTCTTATTTTAATCCCTATTATCATTTAATAACAAAAAAAAGTATGATATTAATGTTTCAGAAATTGGTTTTCTGATTGCATCGCAGAAGACATTTTTGATCATATATGTAAAAGTAAGTCAAAGTTACTTAAGAACGAGTGTTTTGCAGTAGAAATTTAAATTCATTGAGAATAAAAAAATAATTTGAAAACAAAGCACTGATTTATACTAATAATAATATCTGAATTTCTAAGACATTTTTGATGATTAGTTATGCCATCAATTTTAATTTTGGTAGTATTTTCATTATTTTTTAGTTTTACTAATCAACTAATCATCCAACTTTGTTTTGATATTATTATCATCATTATTATCATAATTATTATCATTATTATTGTTATTATTATTATTATTATTAATATTGTTATTAAATTATTATCAAAGTTTATGTTAGCTAAAAATTAAAATGACATACAAGCAATTTATTAGTTCACAAAATACACTCAATTCTTTATGCTATCAATTTTAATTTTGGTAGTATTTTCGCTATTTTTCAGCTTTACTAATCATTCAATTTCTTTTTTTACAAATTTTCAAACATTTAATTAATTATCACTCAAAAAATGATAATGTTTTTAATTTTCATTAATTTAATTAACTGAAATTGGAGATTGAACAAATTCTTTTCCCTTTTTAAATTTTCCATTTAATGATGATGAAGTAATAAACAAGATTTGACCTTTTTCTTCTTCATAAAATCTGTATCAATTAACCGATCTTGATAATGCCAGTGACCTGAATTATATATGCTCATGATAATGATAATAATTATGGTTATAGTAGTAATGATTAATATTATGTTAATATTATGATGTTTAATCCACTAAATTTTGCTCGGGAGTGATTTCTACAATTTATTTTAACAATTTAAGCCAAATCTTCTTGCCACTCCAGAAATGTAATCTTGAAAATTTCATTCCATCTAAATATAAACAACTCGCTTTAGTTAAATCCGTTATTTCATTTAAATTTTAGGATTTTTATTATAATTCTCAACTAACTGACATAATTTTTAAGTGATTATACAACATAAATGCTTGAATTAAAGTTCTGAGATAGCGTATGGAACAACTGTGATTCCGTATTTCACGTAATCAGTCGTGTAAAATTTGATCATTTCATGAAGTTTTTATATGCAATTACTTTATTCATATCAATTAGTGCATTGAAAATTTGATCAGAAATTTTATTTTTTTAATGTAAATTTTAGTATGAAGAATGCTTCTGCAATTGAAAGGTGTAAAATTGGAAATAAAATTCAAAATTAATTCAAAAATTCAGTAATAAAATTTAATTTGAAAATTTTCTTTGCACTAATTCAATTTATTCTTCCATTCCTCACATTTGTTACTTTGCTATTATTGGTACGTCTTAATGTATAAATTAAGAATAATTATACAAATTTGCATAATTATACAAATTTGCATAATTATACAAATTCGCAACATTAACACGTTTCTGAATACTTTTTTTTTTATTGCTGAGCAATTTTGAGTGGCAAATTGTCCATAATTTTGATAGAAATCAAAAATTGTAATTGCTGAAATGAACATTTTGAAATTGTTATTACTAATTTATTCAGTTTTATTTTTGTAA